AAATACTGGAGTGCAAAATATGCAAAAAAGAAGTTCGTTTCAGTAAGGCTGGAGAAATGGGATTAGGATTTAAATTAGTCGTTGAGTGTAGCTGCAAAACAGAAAGCATTGAGTCTTGTCCTCTTATTAACAATCGATCGTTTGAAATTAATCGACGAATAGTGTTTGTGATGCGCATTTTGGGCATTGGCCTGAGTGGCTTAAATATATTTTGTGGTTTAATGGATTTATGCAATGGCTTTACTACGCGCATGTACTATACTGCTATGGATAACATTTATACCGCCGAACAAGCTGTGCACGATCTTAGTTTGAAAAACCGCCGCAAAAGAAGAAATCAATGAAAATACAAAAGCAGGTAACGAACCGTTACATTTATCTGTATCTGGTGACGGTACATGGAGCAAAAGAGGCTTTTCGTCCTTATTTGGTGTTGTTACACTGATCGGAAAGTACACAAACAAGATAGTAGATGTTGTGGTTAAATCTAGCTTTTGTAAAGCATGTTCACTTCGAAAACATGACAATTCTATAGAAGATTTATTGTGGCAAGAGGAACACGCAGAACAGTGTACGATCAATCATTCAGGAAGCGCTGGAAAAATGGAAGTCGACGGCATTATTGAAATGTTCCAACGTTCTCAAAATTTACACGGCGTTATGTACGAAAATTATATAGGTGATGAGGACAGCAAAACTTTCAAAAGTTTAATCAATGAAAACCCATATGAAGACAAATTATTGGTTAAGAAAAAAGAATGCATTGCACACGTTCAGAAACGTATGGGGAGTAGATTGAGAAATGCCAAAAAATCGCACAAAGGTATTGATGGAAAGGGAGCAGGAAAATTAACGGAAAAATTAATTAAAGATCTCACTATTTACTATGGATTAGCAATACGACGAAACACAGAGTCTTTGCTCGACATGAAAAATGCAGTATGGGCGACATATTATCATAAAATATCAACTGATGAAAAGTCCATGCATTCTCATTGTCCTCCAGGATCAAATTCTTGGTGCAGCTGGCGCGTCGCAGAAGGCATGCTTCAAAATTATCATCATGATCCACCTCTGTCTTCTGACGTTCAAACTGTCATTTATAAAATTTATGAAGATTTATCAGATGATGATTTGTTAACGCGATGTCTCGGGGGGCATACGCAAAATAATAACGAAAGTTATAACGCAGTTCTCTGGCACTTTGCACCGAAACATGTCTTTTCTGGTACAAAAATTATATCTGTCGCAGCATTTTTGGCAACCTGTACGTTCAATGACGGATTTAAAAGTTTATTGCTAATAATGAACATATTCCGGGAATCCGTATTGGACTAATAGCAAAGCTATGTGCCGACGAAAAGGACAACGCGTGAGGCAGGCAAATCGTCGCACATCAAATTCTTCACAAGAAGCCAGAACAGCTCGGCGATTGGAGAAACTGCAGATTGCAGAAAACGATTTCTTTGAAGAAGCAGAGGGACTATTATATGGACCTGGTATTGCAGATTAACCGTAAGTGCGCTGAAATTTTATATATGAAAAATTATTATATATGAAATATATGAAAAAGTAGTAAAAAAGTGTTATATATGAAAAAAGTCAAACTAAAATTTCAAACTCGTTTTTCTCGAAACCATGTTTTTCGAGCTGGCGTTCATGATAACTAAGAAACTAATAAAGATAATCAAATGCGGTTTTTTTTTCTTAATCCTAACACTTTTGCGCATGGCGTGAATCAGGATTAAGTTTTTACAACAAAAATTCGATTTGTTATAGACAAAAATGTAACAGATTTTTCGGACAAAAATTTAAATTTTTTTTAAACTAGCCGTATTTTTTATAAATTTCATGCAATTGGCTTCATTCTGGTTCACGCCATAGCGAGACTCATATAATTAATAAAAATCGTTGGATTTTTGGTTTCAGATTATTTGGAGAGGCTGAATCACGGACGCCATGGAGGCGTGTTTTTCCGATGACCCCTATTTCAATCACCATTTGGAGGAATTAAAACGCATTTTTTATAATAAAAATATTTTTTTGTCGTGTAAATGTTAAACAATTTCTTAAAAAAAAACCGCATATCTCTATGTATAACAGATTTTCTTTAAAAAATTCGTAAAAATAGGCTAATTTTATGGTCGGCAAAGGTGAAAGCCCTCTTAAATAATCAATAATTAATCATTTAATGATTATTTAATTATTGATTTAATTGATTATTTAATTACGATTGCGTAATAATTCTTCTATTATACATTTTATAAAAAGTTATGTGTAAAATTACAACTATCATTGTGAGTTTGAAGATTCATTGTAATAGTTTTCCGCGTATTTATAAATTTGTAGTATGCAAATAAAATTAACTTCTTGTGGCGTAAGTAGATTGTAAGATTGTAGAATTACATTTACAATTAAAAGTATATGTGTATAAAAATGATATAATTGAACGTGAAATAACGTATAGAAGTAATTTTGCGAGTGCCCGCCGCGAGCGTGACAATATATTATGTAAAATCTGCATCTATATTTCCATATCATGTTGCTTATTATATATTTTTATTAAAACTTTTTCGTAAAAATAATATATAAATATCTTTAGCACCTCCAGGCCATTGTTTTTTCCCAAGTTGCGCATCATCAATTTCAATCCAAGATTTTTCTTCTCTACATATACTTGTATAATGACTTGTATAATGATTTTTTTTAATATCTATACTATAATGAAATATAGCATTTATTACTTTATATTCCTGTTTATATTTTTGTTGTTGATATATAGCAGATAAATTAAATTTCTGTAGTATCTTTACTAATGTATTATCCTCTAATAAAAAAAAATAGACGAACAATAAATATTTCTTTTGTCGACGTTAATTCGTTTTTAAATAGTATATCATTTTTTCTACAACGTTCACACGATTTGTCATATAACTGACACCAATGTGAAAATATGTTTAATAAATCATTTGGATTGTAACTTTTTATTCAAATTGTTAATAAAAATTGAGAGAAGGACATTATTGTTAGTAGCAACTTTTGTATTATCACACGACTAGTAGAAGTAATTTAATGCTATACCAGATTTTTTTATATAATATTATCATATTTATTATCATATTTTGCACGAGTGAGCGTGGCACAGTAGACAGCGCATTTGTCTAGTATGCTAGAGATCCCAGATTCGGTCCCCGTAGAATCAAAATATTTTTTATATATTTTTGAATATGCTCGTGTCTCCTCTTGACGGTTTGGCAAACTACGAGTTGTCTATAGAATCCTTATTCTCTTGTCTTGTCTATGGAATCCTCTTCAAAAATTTGCCGTTCGGAACCGGTGTTAAAAAGTAAGTCCCATATACCTGTGCATCACCTACATGCGCATCACAGGCATATGAGAGTGAGATAGAACAGACTTTAAAAGTCTATACAAAAGTAGGAAAATAGGAAATATTTTGTACAAAGAACAGTAAGAAATTCACATCTCGTTTAAAATGGACCGTCTTTTCGCCGGCTCGTAAGTCGTGATGTTTTATAAATGCGCGGATACGCTCGTCGGTTTGTCCGGGTTCGAAATGAAAAACAGCAAGACGAATAAATTAGCCTTGATTAACTGCTATTTATTCAGGAAGGAATTTTAGATGACAAGTTGATGTGGCCAATCGTGATGACAACGATCACAACGAGCGTATTTTTTTACAGTAGATTAAGAAATCGGCGCGATTACAGCGGCGTGGACACGGATATGTACAGCGGTGTGGACGCGGATATTTACAGCGAGCGTGGGTAGTGATCGGAACGGCACGAATGCGGTAGCGAGCGCGGATTGCGGATGGATTCCCGGGAGCAAAGATGGCGGAGGCCGTTCACGGTGACGAGCGTCGACGTGTCCAGCCACAGGGCACAACGGCCAGAAATATTTGGCGTGACGATTTGCCGTACGTTGTGTTTTACTTCGGGCGACGGAGGAGATGTTTTGACTGGCGCCAGTAACTCCTGGTTGGGGCAGCGAACACGCTACCTCGAGTGTTTCCGGCAAGTGGATTCGGCGGATCAGGTAGGAGACAAAGATCGGCTCCGGACAGTAACTCCTGGCTGGGACTACGTACTCGCATGTTAGGGAACCACGATTTTTCGATTAATTAAAAACTTTCCTTTTATAAACAAAAAAATCACGATTTTTTTTTATTAAAATTGAATGTTTTTCGGAAAATTCTTCATTATTTTCACAAAAATCAAAATTTCAAAAATTTCCTACGTAGTTCCCTGGCAAATTTAATATAATTTTCAAAAATTTTTTTGTTTTTCTTCTAGCTTCAAAATTTGCAGCTGCTACTTGTTTGCTAGTACAATGCGACCTTTTAATTTTGGGGATATGTTTACAAGTTTCTGCGCACCATTAAAAAAAATAAAAACTGTTTTCATAGATTTTAAAATGTATATAATAAGATGTACATAATAAACGGCAAAAAGTCAATCATTGTTTACTCTATTTATTTTCACACAAAAGATCTCCAAAATTTAGACCCGTCAAAATGGTATTACCCTTTAAGAAGTCACATAAATGATTTATATTTTTATTTCCACTAATATCGAATTTTTGATATTGTCTTCTTAATGATATTATCATTATTTTACACTTTGACAATCAAATTAATACAACAAAGTAGAAAAAACTTCACTATTAATATTTTAGTAGGTATAATCAAATTTAATGAACAAGATACATACTAATATCTGAAAGTAAAAGGTTTTCCTAAAACCTTTCTGAATACTATTTTAATGAATCAAATTAAACTATCTGGAAATATCTGCATTCATTTCTAAAAAAAAAAACAATTAATTGAGAACACTATATATAGATATAATATATATATTGTGGCGGCGTCATTGCATTCAATACATGCATATATCCCATCCGTCATACGTCGCTGACGATGCACCTGCGGTCTCCCACGTCGTGCACCGGCCCATCTAGCCACCTGCCGCTAGGCCGCTAGGCATTTAAAGACAAATATTTTCGCGCATTTGAAATTTAATCATCCACGATATATAAAAGGGGATACGCGACGCTCAGTTCGCATTCGGCTACTCGGTCAAAGCGTGAGAATGTTCCGGCCAACGGCACACAGCCTCTAAAAGAAACACCGTGAGAAACCGCTTTTCTAAAAAAGTTTTTTATATCAAAGCTGACCTTTTCAGGTCAAAACAAATTAAAACGGCTTTACAGAGCCGATAATTTAGGAAATAGAAAGTTTCAAGAAGACATCAACACATCAGCCCATTTGAGCGACGCGGACCCGACCGTCTGACGATCTTGCCGCCCCCGCCTATTGGGAAAGCGTAAACGATCGCCGTCTCGGTCATCCGCTTCATCTTCTTCGTCGTCTTCCTCATCTTCCTCGAGCTCCTCCTCGTCATCTTCCTCGACCTTCACTACTTTTAGCGCAAATAGTAAAGGCCGGCCATCAGGGAAACAGAACGCGAAATTCAGATTGGAAAGATCAACCCCGCCTCCACGATCTCCAGAAATCCCCAGAACACTGGAGAAGGATCTTCACATCAGAAGACCGTTATAGGAGCGAAATCAATGATAGCATCTAATTCCTGTCTCGGGAATTCCTTCCTCTCGTCCAGAAGCCTCTATAGGATTCTCGCGTTTTCCACTGTGACAAAGGGACGCAGATCAGTCTTAAAACAACGCGCAAACAACGTAGAGGCTTGGGCGCTCGACTCCGACGAATAGAACGAAGGAAACTACTACGAATTTAAGGTTCACTATATTTTTTAGTGCCCACTATCCAGATGGGCCATATTAAATAAAAGTTAATTTTCAGCTCAATCCTTATTTTCGGCTGCAAAGCCCGCGTCTGTAAAGGCGTATTTCGACTGAAAAATCTCGCGATCGAAACACCGCATCTCGGCTGTAAAGCCCGCGTCTGTAAAGACGCGTTCCGACTAAAAAGTCTCGTGGTAGAAATATCTCGTCTCGGTAACTAGCAAAGCGCCCATAGAGATACAACTCGGGCAACAGCACAACGACAGCATCTCATCAGGCGCGTCAATCATAGATTGAAGATCTCACCATTTCATAAAAAATAAAACTTATACTCAGTACACACACTCATTTAACATAGATCCCTAATTAATCACCATCATTAACCATTTGTTTATATTTTCAATTTGTTAAAATAAAATATAAATACAAAAACGAGTTAAAGCGTCGCATTGCAACCTTCAGATATCCTCTAGTTCCTTTCCTATCAAGAGACAAAATATAGAAAACAATTGGTGTTAATTACGAAATTAACTCATTACTCAACACCAAAATACTATTAGGTGTACAAAAAAATTCTGAGCTTTAGATTTCATACAACCGAAATACCAATTTAAATTTTATATATCTTCCCGTCCTTTTGCGATTTTAAAGCGTTGACATTTGGTCTTCTAAAATGCCATACGGTTTGGCGTTTGATGCACATAACTTAAAAATCAGTAGTGTTCACGATGGCAATAAGAGCATATTCGATTTTCCATCCACTTCGCGTTTCATCTGAAGAAAAATGCTGCTGAAGCCACTGCAATGATTTGTGCTGCATATGGAGAAAACACTGTAAATCATACTACATGTAAAAGATGGTATCAAAAATTTCGCCAAGGAGATTTCTTGAAGATGAACCGCGTGCTAGCGCAAAAGATTGAAACGGACGAATTGCAAGCACTGCTGGATATAAACTTTGCGCAAACTGAAAAGGAGCTTGCAGAACAGCTTGGCGTTACGCAGCAAACCATTTCCGTACATTTACATTCGATGGAAAGGTTCAGAAGGAAGACAGATGGGTTCCGCATGAATTGTCCGAAGACAACAAAAATCGTCGGCGTGACACTGCACTCACTTTGCTTTCAAAGTTCCGGAAAAAAGATTTTCTGCACAAAATCATTACAGGCGATGAAAAGTGGATTGTTTATGATAACCCTAAACGTAGAAAATCATGGATTGACCCTAGTCAACCTTCGACATCGACACCAAAGCCCAATATCCACGCCAAGAAGGTTTTGCTCTGTATCTAGTGGGATTGGAAAGGTATGTTATATTATGAGTTGTTACAATCAGGTGAAACAATCACGGCAAACAAATTAAAACGGCTTTACAGAGCCGATAATTTAGGAAATAGAAAGAACACCGCTACT